CAATCCGCACAAGAGAGCTTAATCGATTACGCTGACGGGAATTGCATCCGATGCACCGACGGTTACATGACGGCGCCAAAGACGGCTGGGCGAACGGCCACATGAACCGGGCTATGAAAACTGAACAAGCCGTCGACTTGCGTTACCAGCTACAACACCTGGAATTGGCCCCGACGACCTCTTCGGACAGTTCGCCGTTCCAACAGTCCTCTTCGGACAGTTCACCGTTCCAACAGTCCGTTGCAACTTTCCCCATAAAACGGAGTCTCGCTTTTCGTGAGAGCTTTGGAGGTTGCATCCAACTGCCTACAGAATTGGCAACAACGTCCGCGGGCGAAGAACCGCCTACCTCCTGGATCGTGTTCCACATTCCTCGAGAGGTGAATCCCACAGCTTCGGTGCACAGCAGTTGCGTACCGATGGGTGTTTCTTACGCATCGTCTGATGACGAGAGTGAGTCGTTGGTGGCCACTGATTACTCGTCTGGACCACAGTCCTCTTCCAGTGGACCTTTGCTTCACGCTAGCTCCAGTAGTACGAAGTTGGTTGCCACCGACTACTCTTCAGAGGAACTTTCCACAGCACGGGCGACTCCAACGCAAGTGCGAAGTGCTGATGCGATTCCAATTGAGAGTCGGTGTGGGTCGGAAGCGTCTGGCAGGGGTGATGCAGAGAGAAGGGCGATACTGCAGATTTTTCCCACACCTGTGCCAGGCGAAAAACGAAGGTATAGCATGGCTAATAGGAACGCTAGGAGGAAAGAACAGTACAAAAGAGCGAGAAACATGTTGTCCGAAAAAAGACTGCTCATGGTGCGCGGCATGGCATGTTGCAAGGCTAGATGTTGTTACGACGTGTCGCCTGAGGAAGTGCGAAAGGTTAGACAAGGACTGTACAGTAAGAGTCCGGTAGAGCGAACTGAGTGGTGAATGAAAAGTATTAGGATTTCACAGTGAATGAGGGTGGACAGAGACGTGTCCGCCCTGTGGAGTTGGAACGTTCGCTGTACTACAATGTACTCGGTGTCTCGCGTAATACATTTTACAGCTACAAAAAGCGTTTCGACAATGGTTACGTGCGTTACGAGCATGGCCTGACGGGGAAATATCGGCCAACCAGTAAAACGGTCGCCATGCTTGCCAGCATGAGAACGTTCATAGAGTGTCATGCGGATAGCATGCCGAATGGGGTGGCTAACGAAGGTGGGGTTTCCAGACCGAAGCTTCGACTCCCGGCTGCTTTCACGAAGCGATCAATTTATGAGTCCATCAAATCAGACTTTCTGGCCGCTGGCCTCGCTGTCGTGTCTGAGTCCGACTTTTATAAATTGTGGCAGAAACACTTTTTCCACATTTCTGTCGCACACTAACACGAAGTGCGCCGTCTGTCATGAGCTGAAGGAACGTATATAGTATGTTACTCTTCCTTGAGATCGAAAACAAGCTCGAGAGGATATGAAAGTTCACCAAAGGAGGCAAGTTGAACACAGATTGGACTATAGTCGAGCGAAAACTGATTCGATGGTGCGTCCGAACGAGCGTTTGTGTCTCATCATTGACGGCATGGATCAGAAGAAAACAACTATCCCCCATATTGGTCAGGCAAACTACTCGAAAGCACTTAGGCACGAGATGATGATGAAGACGAATCTGACAGGCGTCATTGCACACGGTAGAGACCCTAGTATATATGTATACACGTGGTTTCCGTATTTCAAACACGATTCGAGCACGGTCGCTACTTGTGTTATGAGAACCCTTGTCGAAATTCAAGGAAGCGGGACGCCACTGCCATGATGTTTGCACATTCAAGCGGATAACTGTTGGCGGGAAAACAAGAACAAGTACATATGTGCGATGGCTGCACTGTTGGTTAAGTTCATAGTTTTTGAAGAGGAAGAAATAGGTTTCATGCTGGTGGGACACACCCATACAGACGTTGACACTACTTTCAGCGTTTTCTCGAAGAAATTGAAAGACATAGACGCTTATACTATGGACGAGTTCTTCGAGCTCATAGAGCAATCACACAAAAAGCCTCCCAAATATATTTTCCTCGGTACGATGGAAGATTGGATTAGTATAGTAGACTCGTGCGTTGCGTCAAACATTACCGGTATTTCGAAACCGCACTTGCTTAAATTTTTGATGGTTGGAGATAATCCGGGCATGTTGTACAAGGAGTTTTGCGATGACGGCGAATGGTTGGCCGAGGAAGGTCCGATTTATTGGTTCAATCAAAACCCCGATGAGAGCTATGCAGGTCCTTCGTGGCCGTTTGACCCGCCTCATGTGCAACCCCTTCCTCGAAATGACAATTTGAATGGCAAAAATGGTGTTGTTCGATTCTGGGAGTTGCTAGAGAGTATGCGGTCGATGTGGTGCACTTACAATGACCATGAGGTGAGTAGGAGAGAAAGAGCTTTGTGTTACTGGAAGGAGGTTATCAAACATGGCGATGAGATCATCGCCAACGGGTTGTCCTCACAACCTCAAGAAAGTTTCTGGCCACGACCACGGCTGCTCGAAAGCGATCAACAACCTTCTCCTCGCAATGTCAACATCGATGACAGGGAACCCCTGTTTGGTGGACGAAGAAAAAATTGCCCGAAGTCTAGTTTCAAACCCCTCGTGCAAGTTGACGTGGGCACTTTTCTTATCCTTCGCTCCTCCGACGATGATCTGTC